GCCTTCGTACATCCGCATCTATTGCAAATAGATATCAAAACAAACATGGCGCAAAATAATTCATATTTTATAATTTATATCAGTATTGAAATTGAATTTATATAATTTATTTGTTTTGCAACTCCTTTTTGTTTTGCTTCCTCAACTTATGTCTCAAATATGCAATCTTCTTCAGAAAATCAATCGTTCTTGCTAAAGAAGAAAAAAGTTGTGCTTTGTGCAGATACTGAGAGTGTTAAAGTCAATTCAATGGTCAAATGGCACCAAAATCATCAAGCATGCAACCCAGAGAGCAATATATTTTTCTCCACGATTCTCATTTCGCCCCGATTTGAAATTATTTTCAACACATATGCAGATTCTAGGCAGGGGCGTCACTTGAGGGGGGTATGGGGGTTGGTTCACCCCCCCAACCACCAAAGTAGGACCTTGTCACAGGGCAAAACTGATTTTGCAGGGCAAATGTTTTCTACCAACGGATCTGTTTTGTTGTTTTCTTATGTAACTGTAACAAGAATGTAGGTTATGCTTGTAATTTGTCTACTCCAAATGTAAAATGATACTAGTGACACGAAGTAGAAATTGCCAGCGTGATCTTGGGCTGGATGGAATATATTTCTGAATTAATTCTGATTTCCTTTCATTTTAAGTGGTACACCAATTTCTATGGTTACACCCCTGCTTGATATTTGTGTCTTATTCAAAAACAATACTAAAAAGACAAGCAGCGCTTGCCAGAAAACTAAGACACTGTAAACGGGGCAATTTGGGTCAAAATTTGATGGAATAGTTTTACATTTTTGGGTCTAAATTTGCTCTGACTGTAATCAAAAGAGTGACTTTAAGAAGGAAGTCGACTATATACGGTTTTTATATCTATTATATGTGGATGATATAAGGTGCATTGTATAAATTCCTGTAGGTTTTCAAGCTTGTGTTGCCAGATAAAAAAAACTGTGTCATCGATCAATCTTTTCCAAAATATTCGACTATGCCCCATCGGGGCATTGCTCGATATATGTTGTTACATTGTTGTCATGAATATGCTGGCATAATTTAGGGCAAAGGGTTTCCCCATTGTGGTGCCTTAAGGGAGGTTAATAAAATTTAACATTGCTCTCTTTTTATAAGAGCCAGTACTAGTTGAAGTTCAGGCTGATTTTCCCTCAATTTGTTCGAAAATCTGAGGCTGAATTGTTCTTAATTTGTTCTTAAATTTATAGGGTATAAGCAGTGTGATTGCTATCTTTTTGCTCTAGGGAGGTGTCCAGGCCGACAAAGTGCGTGAGAAAACCTTCATTTGCCGCCTTCATTCTATCTTTGAATATTCACCGAAGAAGCGTCACAAGATGGCAAAAAACTCCTCGTTTTTGAGACGAAACATTGTTCAAAGTTACATTTTACAGTAGCTCAGCCTCAGCTTGTTTCAATTTGTTCTCGACTGTTGACCAATTTTGAAGCTCGTGTTCTTATAAAATTGCTATTATAAAAAGAGAGTATAAAATATTGCTAGTTCATCTTGTGAGTGCATGCTCTTTGAATACAGGATGGAGTGGCGGGTTGCCTCACTCATTAAAAAACTTTCTCTTGTTCGTCTCTCCAAGGTTAGGCAAACACATCGGTGAACTTGTTGATACACTGAGCAAGGACCTAAGCAGGAACAACTCACCTTAAGAAGTATTTTGGTGTTACGGGAACTGAGGGCCAGTTTCCAACATTTCAAACTTTTGCTAGGGCAAAGTGTTTTATGCAGGGCAAATATGCAGCAACCCCCAACAACAAGTATGAAGTGACGCCCCTGATTCAAAGTCGATCTAAAATTTCAGGCCGACCTGAACAACCAAAATGAACTCAGGTCGACCTGAGTTGCTTTCGCCCTTTCTCATGTGAGCACCTCAAGGGCTCAGACCGCAGACTGAAATGAACTTAAGGTCGACCTGAATTTTCTCATGTGAGAGAGGTGTGAATCAAAACTAATGAATCTAAGTGAATCAAAAATTACTGCTGTGAATTTAAAACCCTAAAAGTACCTCCTATCTGCCTACAAACTTGGCCTAAAGTAAACAAAACCGCCAATTGGCTTAAATTTATAAAAAAGTACAACAGGAAATGTATTCTATAGTGTATAACCTATAGACAGTATAGTAACTATATTCGCTATATAGAATGCAGTACTGAAACGTGAAACGTGTCGTCGATATCTTCAATGCCTGAACTTCACAATACTTGTAGTTACCTACAATGCACAGCTCTCAAACACACCATCTTACCATCTTTCAAATATCAGACCGTGGCCTAGCCAGGCGCATGCTTGCTTTCTGTATAACAAAGGGTGAATGTACAGAAAAGATGTTTGCACTTTATAGTAGCAGCCTAGCCTATCACTCCTTTGTCAAGTCGAAACAAAATGCTTCCGTCTAAACGCACACGAAAAGCAAAAGGCCACGGACGAACACAGTTATCAAGCATATTTGATATTCGAACTTGTTGCCACAAATGGCTGACTTCTCTCAAATTGACCCTCGCATATTGGAGCATTTTGCTTTAGTTTGCTGTAATTCGTGCCATTTAGCTCAGCAAAACCGCTCTAGTAAAGTACTTCAAAGAATAAATAGGTTGTTGACGTCATCAAGAAGCAATTCTTTTAACTCAGATCGTAAAAAGAATTCATTGACACCTGCAGACAAATGTTACATCGTGACTTTCACCAATAAGTTGCAAGAAAATATTTCAAACACAAGAATAGACCACCAGCTAATTTTATAAATAGAACATCGTTGACGAAAGCACGGTAAACGTGAAAGTTGAGAAGTTGTATCATTCGATTGGTTTGAACTGATCATCCTAAAAACCTATTCATTGGGTTACACCTGGAGTTATGGAGTGGCCGGTTCTTATCACAGGTTAAGGTTCCAATCAAGGATGTCACCAAAAGGGGTTCGGGAATGCGGAGGGTGTGGGGGTTTTTGTAACCTGGTATTTCTATAATTCGATGGTCATAAGCAAATAATTCTATATCGGAAAAAAATCGCCAAAGCTTTCTGTCACTGGGGATTTTTCAGCGCTAGACAACTTTGCCTGCCTAGAAATAAGGTTGCATAGGATTAAGATCTAAATTTTTCCGCATTGTCTGTTTTCACTTTACAGCACGAGGATAAATCGGCGCTCGTTCAAATTTTCCGGTATCGCTTTTCGCTTCAACTTTCTTCTCCTAAATTTGACCTCCTTTCTGTATTTCAGACAATTTTGAGCCCTTCTGTGACTTTTTAAAATGTTCACAAATCACACTACCATGACCAAAAGGTTTTTCTGGCGATGCCATTTTTTGCGTTGATGCCTCTTTAAGATTTTAGTGTTAGAACACAGGGTTCCCATTCATTGCAGGACATCACATGACAATTGCATCATTGCGCTGCAATTGCATCAGCTTCTGTAAATTTTATTATTCTTAGGGTATGTAAGGGGTGGCTTTATAGTTAGGTTCAGTCTTGCCGTAAGCTTTGTCGAACTCAGTGTACCTTGTCGCTAGCTTGCAGAATTGTGTTTGCCGTTACATTTTCGCCGTTAGCCATTTAAGATATTTTTAGTCGTTTGCCCTCAACTGATGAATTAGAAGAAGTGTAAAGAGAATTGGATAACAGTTTTTGCCGTGTTTATCGTGTACGTTTCTGCGAACGACCTACAATCTCACATTTGTAAAACCCCCTTTTTAAGTGGTTTTACATTAGACTTGAAAACTGACAAAGTTTGAACGAAAATTGTAATAAGGGGTAAAATGGTTTTCTTGTCCTCTTTTGAATGTGACCTGATCAAATTGAAAAAATTTATGTTGATGATACCTTTGCGGTTGTATTGTCTATGCGGTGACCTTTTAAATATATTTGCATTTGCTAACTTCAATCCTGTGTTCAACAACCATTTATTACTGTTCCAAATTGCAGAATTTAAGGGAACTTTTCTGATACTTTTCGATGGCCTTTAAATTTTCTGACGCATCTATTCAACAACGTTAAACAAATTCACGTTTTTTTCAATCACAAACGCACCGCGAAGACGAGGCAATGTGCATTTAAGCATTCACACTGTCAAAACATTTGTTTTAACTGACGTTGGTAGTGGCGGAAATGAGCAAAGTGTGACAAGAATTATCTTTGTTGCAAGAGATAGCTTGGGTCTCTTTCCATCTAAAGATCTCATTCGGAGCGCAAAACACGAAATTTATTTAATCAGTGGATGACCTGAATGCAACCAACGGCCAGTGTACACCAACGGAATGTATCAACGAACTTTCAAATAACTGTTCAATAAAAAGAGTTCTGACTTCAATAGCATAAAGGCAATCTGTCTCGTTGTGGATTGGTTAACGAGAACAATAGCTGGAACAATAGCCTAAACACAATTCCAGCGCTCAGCCAGATTTTTTACAATGCGATAAATTAAAGGAGGACTGGAAACAATAAAAATCCCTTTGTTCTTATAACCAATCAACGTCGTGACAGATTGCCTTTAAGGTTGGAGAAAGATTGCGAAATCAATGTTGCTACAATTAAGAAGATCAAAATTCGACAACGCTCCATAATTAATATTCACCGACCCACCAGCAAAAAACGGCCCTTTTGGAGAAGAATTAGCAGCATGACCCCTTTAAGCCCATTTAAGGTAGCAGTCTACCATGAAAATCGTAAATTATAAAAATTTTGTCAAAATTTTTATTTCCTTGGATCTGATCAGGAAAATTATCGCAAAATCTGATTTTGAAGGTAGTTTTCCCGTAACTGTTGCAGTTAATGCAAAAATATGATTTATTTATGCACTGGTTTGATCATCTGTCCTTAGCAACCATGTTTCTTTCAGTTGCTAGGGGTCTGTTGACACCCATAGGACCCATTTTTGCAAAATAAAAATTATTATGCAATCTACGGCCTTGTACCATATCCCAAAATGCATTTATACCACTTTATTAAGCACAGGGAACAAATGAAGCATAATTTCTGTTTGGCATGGCCGAGGAAAGTTGTTCGAAGAGCCCTTCTGTTTATGAAGCGAATTTATCTGACAATGAACGCCCTGAAAAGAGAGTTTTTAATCGAAAATTCAGATCGGTAAAACGGAAGAAAAGAAAAGGATTTGCTGGGAGTAGAAAAAGACGATGTATTCAAAGCAATGAGATGGATTTATATAACTTAGGCCAAGGCCAAGTTGATGAAGATGAACTGCCTGCCTCGTCTTCACAAGCAACAATGGATAAAAGCAAAGAATCAGAGGAACACAGTGCTTCATTTCGTAAACTTCTGAACTCTTCCTTTGATTCAGACAATCTTGGTCCTATAACGAGATCTATTTCCGGATCAAAAGAAACGAAGGGTGCTGGCAGTAGCAATATTGGCAGTGCTGACGATGGCTACAGCCTTATGGATAAGAAACTTTTGGTGAATGCAATCAACAAAAGTGCTATTTGTCGTGCATGCAGAAATCCAAAGGCACAGTTAAGCCTGCTGCTTAGCAATAAATTTGGCCTTGCAGAGAAATATTTTCTTAAATGTAGCCATTGTCATACAAGTACACCACTTGAGACCAGTGAAAAGCTCAGTGGATCTAAGAGGGCAGACAAGAAAGGGGGACAGACCACATACGAAGTAAACTGTAGATCAGTTGTTGCTTCACTGGAAACTGGACGTGCTGGGCTAGAGAGATTTTGTGGCATTTTGAATCTTCCAAACCCTGTATCAAAGTCTGCTTACAACAAACAGTTGAAGAATCTTGAGGAAGTGGCAGTACAAGTTTGTGAAAAAATTATGAATGAAGCAGCTGCTAGGCTTATAGAGATCATTGGAAAAGAAGAGCCGACAATGATTGATTTTGATAATGATGGTCAAAAACTTGCCAAAGTTGCTGTTACCATTGATGGAACATGGCAGAAGAGAGGATACAGTTCAAAAAATGGCATAGTGTTTGCTATATCAGTGCGCACAGGAGAGGTGCTAGACTTTGAGGTACTTTCGTTAGTTTGCCATCAGTGTCAAGCTAGTAAAAAGCTAGATCACAACAGTGATCAGTACATACACTGGAGAGAGAATCACCAGCCTGTTTGCCCCATAAACCACAGTGGATCTAGTGGTGAGATGGAAACAAAGGGGGCAATAAGGATTTTTTTGCGGTCCGTCAATAAGAGGAATTTGAAGTATACAACCATGGTAGGGGATGGAGACACAGGGTGTTTTGGATCGGTTCGCGAGGCTCTAAGAAAAGAGTATGGTGACACTTATGAATTAGAAAAAGAGGAATGTGTGGGGCACATCCAAAAGAGATTGGGAACAAACCTAAGGGATCTTAAGACAAAGTATAGAGGAAAAAAACTGGTCGATGGAAAAGGTATTGGTGGAGCTGGGAGGCTAACAGACAAAATTATGGATAAAATGCAAAATCATTATGGCTCTGCAATTCGAAATAATAAAGGAAAATTGGAATCAATGCATGACTCTATACAAGCTATTCTGAAGCATATGGTAGAAGAAGAGGGAAAATCTTTGGAAGAACAGCATGCCTTATGTCCAAAGCATGGTCATACCTGGTGCAAGTTTTGGAAGGACAAACAAGCAGGGACAGAAACATATTCTCAAAGAAATAGGCTTCCACCTGTTTTCTTTCCTTTGTTAAAACCAGTGTATGACCGGCTTTCTGATGATGTGCTACTTAGAAGATGTTTGAAAGGCATAACTCAAAATCAGAATGAGTCCTTGCACGGAGTGGTCTGGACAAGATGTCCAAAAACCCGTTTTAGTGGAAAACGGAAAGTTACAATTGCTGCTTGCCTTTCTGTTGGAAACTTTAATATCGGGTCATCATCAGTTGCAGATGTCTTAAAGGCATTACAAATCAAATGTGGTCAAAAAACCTTGACTTATTTAAAAACTGTTGACAGGAGAAGGCTGAAGGATGCTGCAAGAAAGATTTCACACAAATACAAAGATCAGAGGCGGAAATTAAGAGCAATAAAGAAGGGAAGGCTTGATGTAGCAAGGAAAGGCTATTTGTCTGGGGCTTTTGGTCTTTCTGCAGAGCCTGAAAACATTTGTAAGGTGGTTGATGCAAGTCTGAAAAAGAAAAGAAGAAATAGAGAAGGAAAGAAAAAGTGCCCTGGAAAGTCGCCAGATCTGTCAAGGAATGAACATGAATATGTCAACCAGTTTGAACCTCCAATTACTTTTATGATGCCTCTAGAGACTATTCATGACTTTTTTTAACATTGTTTGTTGTAGCTAAAGGTACATTGTGTGTCAAACACAACCAAAATTCAGGCAAGTTTCAAAAATAAGAAAAATTAGTCATTCAGTAAATCTCGAAACTTTAAATGCATTTTTCTCAAATCTCAAATACGGACAACTATAAAGCTTGTGATAAAGATATCTTTGGTTCTGTATGAGATATGAAGATGAAATTTTCAAATAATATGTATCTTTTAATGACCTATGCAATAAATACACAGAATTTTGATTGAAAAAATATTTCACAAAAATTTCAAGAAAACTCAACTTTTCACAATAAAATATTTAGCTGACTTGATATCATAAAACTGTGTGTCCATTGCATAGATTATGTAAGCAAAAACTTCCTGCCAAAAAATTTTCACCATAGCCTTTAGCATTCATGAGATATCATTTCCACAATTTGCAGATGTTCGGCCTTTGTTTTTATGTTTCTATGGCAACGTTATTGCCACACCCTTCCAGACATTTATTTTTACATTTCAAATCTTGCATTGTTTAGAACCTGAAAGTTTCAAGCTTCAAACTTAAGCCATTCTCAAGTTTTAACCATTTTCCTATATTGTTGCTGTCAAGGTAGACTGCCACCTTAAGCAATCCATGCTTCCCATAGTGTTATGTCAATAGCGGTCCAGCAATGTAAAGGTCTCAGCGCATGCAATATTTCACATAGATTGACGTAAAAGTCGGTGGACGTGACGCACCCAGAGCGTTTGCTTTCTTGACCAAAGGGTATTTGTTCTCGTTGACAGCGTCATTACTGTTATTCGTATTTGACTAGCTCGATATCTGAGTCCCAAGGGGGGCGTCCACAAATAGCACTAGGGAGGCTAAAAGGAATTGAGGGTATACCCAAATCCACCTAGTCATGATTTTCATGCTGTAATGCTGTTGGTTGGCATGACAATGATCACATGAAGTTGCCTCGTATTGATAAACAAAACAGCTTCTCTCAATAGCAAGTTGTCGACAGCGGATGTCGACTTCACAGGAAACCATAGCGTTCACACCGATCGCCAATGACCCCCTGCATAGAAAGCCTCTTAATCACGACTCGATGCTCTTATTAAGCATGCAGCAAAAATTATTACTGTGACTAATTTTACCTCTTCTACCTTTGCCTCCCAGTAGACCACATCCAGATCTGGTGTGCATTGGAAATTAAAATGCTTCACAGTCATACAGCAAGTTAGCTTCCAAGGTACAGTTACATTAATTTTGCCACAATGTATTGTTGCAAAAAGGTTACAGGGTGAGAAATAAATTTCTTCTTTTGCCCGGCAAAAGTTCTTAATGTACCGACGGACAAAGTGTTAGAGGGTACCGCACCCATGACATCCCCACAGCCCCGCACCCCACATCCTCCGCATTCCCGAACACCTTTTGGTGACATCCTTGATTGGAACCTTAACCCGTGATAAGAACCGGCCACTCCATAACTCCAGGTGTAACCCAATGAATAGGTTTTTAGGATGATCAGCTCAAACCAATCGAATGATACAACTTCTCAACTTTCACATTTACCGTGCTTTCGTCAACGATGTTCTATTTATAAAATTAGATGGTGGTCTATTCTTGTGTTTGAAAAATTTTCTTGCAACTTATTGGTGAAAGTCACGATGTAACATTTGTCTGCAGGTGTCAATGAATTCTTTTTACGATCTGAGTTAAAAGAATTGCTTCTTGATGACGTCAACAACCTATTTATTCTTTGAAGTACTTTACTAGAACGGTTTTGCTGAGCTAAATGCCACGAATTACAGCAAACTAAAGCAGAGTCCTCCAATATGCGAGGGTCAATTTGAGAGAAGTCAGCCATTTGTGGCAAAAAGTTTGAACATCAAATATGCTTGATAACTGTGTTCGTCCGTGGCCTTTTGCTTTTCGTGTGCGTTCAAACGGAAGCATTTTGTTTCGACTTGACAAAGGAGTGATAGGCTGCTACTATAAAGTGCAAACATCTTTTCTGTACATTCACCCTTTGTTATACAGAAAGCAAGCACGCGCCTGGCTTTTTGCCACGGTCTGATATTTGAAAGATGGTTTGTTTGAGAGCTGTGCATTGTAGGTAACTACAAGTATTGTGAAGTTCAGGCATTGAAGATATCTTCTCGCATATTGTTAGAAAGTGCGAAAAAAGCACGGTAATTGTGCAGAGTCATGGGTCAGCCTCGTTACAGGAAACAACTCGTGATAAGAACATCTATAAGTCATAGAGCAAAGTCATTATGTCTTACAAGGTATTAACGGAAGCCAATATGGGTTTATTATATCTGTTTGCAGATATCGTAGCAAGTTACTGAAAGGAGCACCAGGAGAAAGGTCATAGCGGTCCACTCCCCAGCGTAGAAGGTGGAAAGTAACTCTAAAGGCCGGTTTCCACTTGATTCGCTCTGTTCGCGCGACTTGGCGAAATCGAACTACACTTTGTACTGGGTCTCATTGTTTTCATATAAACAATGCGTTAAACAGCCTCCAGTGCGCCTCGAGGGTGTTCCCATAGCAACAGCTGTCGTTTTCATGGTTTGCCCACTGACCGAGAAGAGCACATCTGCAGAAGTATTGATGTGTTATATAACCAATGATAAGGGAGCATTTTTCAATGCACTGAAGTTTAGATCAACCTGCAACATCATACAGACATTTGCGAGCAAATTTTAGGCCCATCAGTCAAATTATGCAATCACAACAGTATGAAAACCACAACAAAGACCTGACTTAAAGGCGGATTTTACTTCACTGCTTTGCAATCCTTTTTTGAGCAGGCATGGCAAACCTTTATCTGAAGATTAAAGAAATTGAAATGAAAATTAGCATTAGCTGCTATTTGAACTATCATTGTTAACTGTGTGCCGAAATAGGCTTCAAATTATAAATGGGCACAACGGTTGAAGCATTTTTAAGAACTATTATAAAAACCTGCATAAAAAGCAATTCTGAAAATAAATAAGATTGGCTAATCTATGCAAGAAAGCTAAAAGCTTTATTTCTTTTCCTGGCATTAACAACTTGCTGCCAAGGGTAGAAAATTTTCATGGAGAATGTCGCTTGCTAAGCACAACGAGCTTAACCAATTATTCAAGTTGTCAAGTAGTATTCAAAATATCTAATAATCAAGTTGTTATTACTACTTCAGCTGGCTGGAGGTGTTGATGGAAGCCCGTAAAATTTGACTACTTTGTGAGAAAGGATGCCTTTGCTTTAAGAGAATCAAAATTTAGCTATAGAATCCTCAAGTGTGACGTCACAAAAAAACTGTTTTCAGAATTTTCGAATTTTGACCACATTACAGAAAAGAACACCGTGAAATACTCCCATATTTGCAAAATCAGTTAAATTTGTCAAAAATCGGGTGAGATTTGGCCAATAGAAGATTTGAAGTTTGCTCAACGGAATACTGTTATTTTGGCTCAGTTCATAAAGTTATGAACTGAGACCAAATTGCAGAGGTTTGATGGGGCCAGAGCTTGTGCTCATCTGGTCATATCTCAGCCAATTTAATATATCTTTCACTGATTTCGCAGATTTAGAGGTATTTCGTGATGCTCTTTCAGGTTATGGGAACAAATTTCTAATATTCTAAAAATAGTCTTTTGTGACGTCATCACTTCATAACTCAAGTACGTGAAAATATATCTTACTAGAAATCGATTTATCATTTGAAAAATTATTTGAATTCAAAGCTGCAACAATTTAGGAAAACAATCAATATGTTTTAATTTTTCTCAAAATTTCAGCAAAGCAGTTGTTGCATTTAATTGGTGTTAAAGGCACTGTGTCCCATCAGTCAGCCATTTAGAGTTAACAATAGGCTTAACAATAGTTCAAAATCGGTCAAGCTCCGTAACAATAGGTCAATTGTATATTCTAACCAATGGAAATTTAAATGGCTAGTGAAATGCACCAGGCATAGTGTCTTTTAATCAAATAATCTAACTCGGAAGGATCCTTATATAGACACGGAGCTCTTTCTCGAATCAGTTTTAACCATATGGAGCTGTTTTATCGTGCAGTTCGGTGGACGTTCTTAGATCCCGAAATTTCTTTATTATAGCGGCCCGCTCAATACAAAGTGCCGAATAGAGTAAGAGAAAGCCAAATTTACATGAGATTTTCGTTTGCTAGCACAAATGGCTGTTTTTGAGACTTCAAATTTTTGCACCATTCCAGAAATTTTTATCATGTTTAAAACGACGGAAGGTCCCCTTTCAGAAAATACTTGCTTTTTTCTACTTATTTTTTGCAAACAGTCCAATTCAGAGAAGATATCAATTACTATAAAGATAGATTTAATAAAATAAGACAACACGAAAACAAAGGTCTCCCAGTCAAGACGAACTGCCACTACTTGGGATCCGTGAGAGTAAACTTTCCTAAGTTGCGTTACATTCTTTTTTATAAGAACCAGTAATTTTAAGTTCAGGCTGACTGTTCTTATTTTCTTCGAAAATCTGAGGCTGGATTGTTCTTAATTTGATCTAAATCTAATAGGGTGTAAGCAGTGCGAGTGCTTGCTTTTTCGCTCTAGGGAGGTAGTCAGGACTCAGTTGCCAACAAAGTGAGCGAGACAACCTTCTTTTGCCAACAGGTTTGAATATTCACCAAAAAAGCACCAACACATGGCTTAACATCCTCGTTATTGAGGTGAACCGTTGCTTGAAATTAGATTTTACAGTAACCCAGCCTCACCTTGTTCGTGTTTGTCAAAAAAATTTGTTCAAAATTTCATTTTGCAGAAGCTCAGCCTCAGCTTGCTCTTACTTTGTTCTTAACTTTTGACCAATTTTGAGGCTTGTGTTGTTATAAAAATGTTCTTATAAAAAAAGAGTGTATATTAAACTTTCTAAAAACTTCTAACCTATTATTGCATTAACGTATAGCCCTTGCTAGCCCAATTATAGCCTCTGCTAGCCCAATGGCTGCGCGGTGCCTGCCAGGTAAAGGAGACCCAGTAACTATCTACACAAGAGGAGGAATCC